CCACGACAAATCATAGTTGATGGAGGGCGTGAATTTCTCGGCGAATACAAAAACTACTGTGACAGGTTTGGCATTGAGTTACATACAATATCTCCAGGCGCTAGCAGAGCCAATGGACAAGTCGAGCGCGTAATGGCAACATTAAAAAACGGACTCGTAATTATAAAAAATTATGAAAGTCCAGAGTGGCACACGGCGTTAGAAAGTCTGCAACTTGCTTTAAATTGCACAGTCCATCGTACAACCGGAGTAGCCCCACTCACACTCCTGACTAGACGCCAAAACTGCGTACCTCCTGAACTTCTCAATCTAGTTAATTTTGATAACAATTCAATCGATGTAGTAGCATTAGAACAACATATTAAACAAAGAATGACTGACTTGGCTGTAAAAGACAAGCAAAGATTCGATAGAGGTCGCGCACAAATTCACAAATTCCAGCGCGGCGACTTTGTACTAATAAAAAATAATCCTAGAAACCAAACATCCCTTGACCTCAAATTTAGTGTCCCTTATGAAGTATACAGAGTTTTAGAAAATGATCGCTACCTCGTGAAAAAGGTAGTAGGTCATTACGGTCGACCACGCAAGGTCGCTCACGATCAGCTGAGGCGAGCGCCGCAGCCAGCAGCCGGCGCCCAGGCGGCCGTGTCGCCTGTCGGGAGCCCTGCGCTACCTGACCACTCTGCACCACTCAGTCTTCAACATTGTAGCGAGTAACAATCGTCTGCTGGCATGTTGGAAAACGACGAATAGCTCGTTGTTCAAATCTGGTAATTTCTATTTTTGTTGCAAAACTATTAACCTAATATAATCTAAAAAAAAAAAAAAAAAAAAAAAAAAAAAAAAATAATAATAATAAAAAAAAAAAAAAAAAAAAATATAATTATTAATACAAAAGATGCTATTGACGTGTGGAGCCGTACAATAGCCAAATATTATGATTGGCAATACAGTTGGCCAAATATTATTAATTACTATTGGCGTGTGGAGCCGTCCAATAGTAAGAAATCCTATCCGAAAAGAATAAAATGCCTCTGTGTACCGCGGCGTTCAGGACCGCCTAGAGCACAGCATCGACCTACCCAATCCCTTAGGACCTCTGTGAAAACAGCATCGACCTTTCACCGTCACATCCTTCCCAAAAAAAAAAAAAAATAAAAAAAAAAAAAAAAAAAAAAAAAAAAAAAAAAAAAAAAAAAAAAAAAAAAAAAAAAAAAAAAAAAAAAAAAAAAAAAAAAAAAAAAAAAAAAAAAAAAAACAAAAAAAAAAAAAAAAAAAAAAAAACAAAAAAAAAAAAAAAAAGACTACTGTGGTCACGTGGAGTGAACAGTACTAATATAAACCTAATTACATAACTAACTTATCATTTATAACTGCTTTCACGTGGAGTGAGCCGTGATATGATAACTAACTAATTAAGAATATTCTGACTATAGTTGCGACTGTTGTCATGTGGAATGAGCAGTCATAAATTTTGACCTTACTATTATTACTATTATTACTTCTACTTACTAATTTGGCTGTTATGCTCTCTACATTAAATGATTGAATGGTACCCTGAATGTGCCAAGCCTCAGAAAAATTATTTTATTTCCAGGTAACATGGAGCAATGCAGAGCACGCATTGCACATCAGAATGGCCGTGTCGCCGCAGCTACATTATAACCCACAAAATAAAAATAAGGAGATGAATGACGCATCTGCTGTTGATTTACCATATTAATTATCAACATTAATAGAAACTGAATCACATTCATTACATCTTTAATATAAGGACGATAGATGGAGCTACTATGCGGCTTAATATCAACGCATAATCGCTTCAATTAATGCCGCTAGATGGCGTCATTATCAGTCCTTTTTAATAACTTATGTTTGTTATTTAAAATTACTAAATATAGTAAAAACTAAATTAAATATTAAAATTTATTATGAATTAAGCAATTGTTATGTGAATTGTAAATAAATTTATCTATGTCGAGCGAATGTCGGATGTTGCGTAACGTCCGCCATTTGCGTGCGGATTTCCTTCACAATAATTAAAACTTTGATAAAATCTTGTAACCATTTTAAAAAGAAAATAATGCAATCATCTTGATTTAAATTTAAATACCAAAAAGTTATTTTTAACAATAATGTAACGTTCAATTATTTTGCATTTAAGTTGTTAACTAAAATCAACATGAAAAACATCCGGATGATTCGGTTAATAGTGTAAGTCAAATTTATTATTACAAGTTTATGGCTTTATTTAATTGCTAATATTATTAGAATAACTAGACGGTAATTTAAGTAATTATGCCGCTTTATTATTGTTTAATTATAAGCCTTAGGCAAAAATGGTATTTTACTTCCGGCACTGTGGCGATCGACACCTTCCGACTTGAGCGCGCGTTCAAGTTGGAGGGAACACGATTTGACCACATGGCTGGTCTTGTGAATAAGATTCATTCTGTGTTGGGTGCTCGAGCGGAGTGGAAGTAAGTTGAAAACTCTTGTTACTTTAGTAGAATCGATTTGTAATTATAATCACATTAGAAAAGTATTGTGTTATAAAATAAAATGAAAGATAGACTATAATCATATTTAGAGATTATTATTATAATAATAAACTAATCTAATTTCGCTTGTTCTTTTATTATTTTAATGTAATGTTAAACTACTACCACTAGTAGAACCGATGATCCTATTATAGGTCAACGGTTCTGCAGCTTTTAAAAAGTATTCCTGCTTTCCTACTCCGACATATATATTCTCTGAGTTTTAAATTTATATATTTTAATAGTAACAATATTCAAAAATATCAATGAAAAAGTTGATAAGCTTTAATTGAAGTTGGGTTAAGGTTGTTTTTAAACATCTTATCATTTTATTGGTAATTTAAAAATTTTACTATTATACTTTATTGTCTATATATTAATCAACGACATACAACAAACTATTGGCTTACCATTTATAAATATTATGTATATGAATTTAGTACAGTTTCCGAATACCTTTATCATAACAAAATCCGCTCTCTCTTTATATAATAACCAGTATTACTATACATAAATATGACATAGCTATTATTAATAATTAAATAGTAAAACGAACCCCTAGTTATCTCTCATAATCTAATGTTACTAGATTACAGTATAATGAATATTTGGGACATAAGAGCCATGTCCCATTCTCGTATCTCAATTTCAAGGGTCGTCGCTGTAAAAAGTAAAGCATCCCTGGAATTCCCCAAACATTACAAAGAACCGCAGAGGTTTCCACGTTTCGTGAATGTTTTACCGTCGGCGATTATAAAGATTTTTTTTAATTAAAAATAAGTGAAATGTTGTCTGCGATCTTTTGTTTTATAAATGAAGATGGTGTGTTAGTCCCTGGGAGAGATTATTAATGGGGATCCTCGGGTTAATTTTACGATAAATCTGATGAAATTCTTCAAACTTACTCATTTGGATTTGAAATTAAATTTGTAAAAATATTAATAAAATAAATTAATGACATACGAATATACATATAAGATCGACACAGTCGAATTAAAACTTGTAACTGAATCAATATTATTCATTACAATAGTCATCATGAGCGAATATATTACTTTGTATTTTTATTGGCTTTTCACTATAATCTTCACTACAATAATGTAAAATAAAGGAAAAAGTTAAATATAAGTCAACTATATTCTGATCCTATATATTGTCATATTTTAAAGCAAATCTTGCTGAATACTGCCATCGACTGAAATATTTCTTAAATATAGTTAGTTAATTTCTGTAATTTTTAGTTAGTTAGTTAGTAGTTTAGTTTTTATAAACGAAATTACTATCGTGACAAGAACATTTTGATAAAGTAGCCAAATTTCATACTAAATATAACTGTCTAATACTATTAATTCTTCTTAGATGATTACTTTTATTTCTGTAGAAATTTGTTTCCTTTTATAACGATGTTACTAAAAATAATCTATCTAATCTATAAAATGAGATACTTTTTTCATATCATATTTATAACTAATCCCAAAAGAAGAAAATACTACTTTAACTATGTTTTTTTAAAACAAAATATTATCAAATAAAAAACAACTTATTCATTAAAAACGGTGCAGAGATTACAAATAAATTAAAATTATAAAAACAATGTGTGAAAATAAAAATCTACATTAAAATGTCCTTTAACCCAACAATACCGCGGTTTCAGAAGGAACATCATAACTTCAATCATAAAATCGCATGAGTCGGGTCGTGTGAACAGTCCTCGAGTCGTGCAAAATTACCCCCGGCGTGTGGAAGGGCTCTAAGGGTACTTGACCCATTTCCACGGATTAATTGTACGCCGTTCATGCCCACTATTGGCTTTATAATTTCATTCCGAATGGCGTTCGTGTGAATTACATGGTATACTCATGTGTAGTGCTGACTGCTGTAGACTTGTCGAGTATCGCCAGTAGGTATTTACCGTTTATTAATAAGTTCCGCTTGCTTATTGAAATATTTGACAATTATCTGAACACGTACATCTAAACTGTTAGTACTTAATATGTGTAACTGAATTAAAACAGCTATACCACTATATAAGATACCACTACGTTTTAATCTATATATTATTATAACTAAAAGATATATAACTAATTCTATAATGATTCAAGTAATATTTGATTTCTTACTACTACTACTATTTTGTAGATATTTTATAATTGCTCCACGTGTATTGGTAATTTTGTACGAAGTCTTCTACGTAGCTATCTCGGACTTACCTTTATCTTCTAATAAGCAGCTTGGTTGAGACGTGGCAGTAGTTACAAGGATACATAATACTTTAGTCCTAAAAATGCACCCTTCAGTATTCATGTCCATGAAAATCATAGCATATTTTATAATACCCATAACGTTGTTAATATCTACCTATTGGTAACGGTTATCATCCATCAGGTGAACTGCTAAGTCTGCCATTTGATTCACTTAAAAACAATTTTCTCTAGAAATCATACATATTATACGAACCTTGTCCCTAATCTCCTGTCTCATCTTCTCCCTTTCCTCTTCCATTTTGCGGTGTTTCTCCTTACGCCGCTCCTCAGCCTCGCGGATCGCCTCTTGTCGTTCACGTTCCGCTTCTTCTTCCTTTTCCTTATCATCACTGTCGTCGCCATCACCACCAACTGCGCCTACAAAAGCAAACGTTTCTATTATTATTTATTCCTAATATACTTAATTAAAGCTTCATATGATACAACAGTATTTCATAATATACACTATACCGACTTTGGTATTCTTAGTAATTGTTTATAACCAGTAATTTTGCTGCCATATTTCAGTATCTGATCAGAATACAGATTGTAAGAAAACGTCGTGGCTCATGAAAGTGATTATCATGATAAAAAGTCTCTGTGTTAAATAAATAACAGTCAGTGATATATACATGTATATAAAAGTAGATATAAATATTAATATGTTAGAAGTACTATACCTACATAAAGAAAAAAGGATAGAATACGATAATTAAAAAAATCAAATACAAAACGCGTAATATGTAATCTCTTTACCCTAATTTTATCAAACGAGGACAATTGAAAAACAACAAGGCGTTAAACATACCGATTGCTAACAAAACGAGATTAGAGAACACATTTTCATTCGTCCCTAACCGCCTTTGGACGATTCAAACCGCCTCAAACCAAATTCATTCGGTCGAGAGCCCAATCCAACATGGCGACTGCTAACGCACGGCGGGCTATTCAAAAATCTATTTCGCGTCAATCTGAACATTTGTCACGTCGGGACGTCGGACGCAGGCCCATGTTTTGCTATTCTCAGCTTATATTCACGTTGAAAAGTGTTCGTTTTTCGCTGACGTGTTTACGTGTTTAGAATATTGTTGTACAGTACAGTATTGTAGGCAGGCGTTGACGAGCGCAGAATATATAGACATTGAAGTGCATGTGGAGCAGTTATAGATCACAGAAATATTATTATTTAATACGTAACTTGGTTGTTTATTTCGTCAAATAAGTATAAAAGCGTAACCGAAGTAGTAAGTTAAAAGATGTTTTATACAATAGTTAAGTAATGATTAAAGTATTATTGAGAGGAAGCGCGAGTTAAGTCTATATTTTTAATACTCTTCGATGTGTGAAATTAATTTTGCTGTTTTATATAATAGATAAAAAGCTGTTTAATAATATCCTGTTTGATGAACTAGATGTAATATTATAACTGAGAAATTGAACATGAAACCCTCATTTCCACAAAACAATTACTATTGATATATTTCCTATAGTCAGTCAGAGCTATGAATAAAATAGGACAATGAATGTATGGAATACCAACATAATCATTTCACTCACGCGACTAGCCATCGAGTTCATTCCCTTATTTGAATAGGCACGTTCTGCACGCCGGAGCCGGCGACGCAGACCACAAAACAATGTCGTCTACTCGTACATTCCTCCAGCCCGCTGGATTAAACGAATTCCACAAGTATGACGATACCAATTCAATTTATTGTGCTGCCTTCTCAATAACGCTCCCCATTAAGAAAAAGGCACCCGTTTATCGCGAGCAATTCAATTATTAATTGATCAGTCGCTTTCACTAAAGACATGCCTCTGACGGAATAATAATTTCGATTCGATTCGAATTCAATATTTGGTGAGATCGAGTTTGAGTCGAGTGCGTACATTTTGTTCCATTTTTTTAATTAACCGTTCGAGAAAATGGCGGTGGCTGTTGTTGAATATTAATTCTTTTTTACTGATTTAAATGATAATGATTCGTATATTTACTTTGTAAGGAATATTTATTAGGTGAGTTTTAGCGAGTCGGCGTGTTTTGTGAATCGACAGATTTGAATATGGCACGAGGTTTTGATCAGTTGGTTGTGTCCGTAACTTTGTTCATACTCTTACATATACATATGTATGTCTTCTTATATAAGATAAGCCATTCATCTATTCATACTTGCGAAAATAATATTAATTATACAGTCCAATTACACTCTATTAATTCACAGTAGATAGATAATATATGCGTTGCAATCGGGTTGTTGTTTCAGAGCTATTAATTTAATGTTGTTTGTCCGTACCAAACAACAATACCTAATACCTATGTATTAATTTAATGTTGTTGTTTATCATTGATACTACAAACAATATCGTAAATGTTGCACTTTATGAATTTAATGGCACATCAAAATTGTGGTTATTACACTCTTGTTATGAACTTTCTTTTCTCCTCGTAATAAGTTCGTACATATCAGACAACATTATTTTTTTAGTGGCATATATTTTAAAATTTTTTGGGCTAGCTTTATAGAATATTTTAATTTTTAGAATGCCCTATCTAAAGATTAAAAACTGCTGCCAATTGTATCGTAAACACAGAAACAATTATTTTTGTAATATTATGTATATGGACCATAAAGTTGTTCGAAATAAATAAATATTAAATATATTTTCAAGTTAATAATATTAATAACATTAGTAGATGCTTTTTAAACTCATGAGAGTTTCTTAAGCCTATCCAGCTCTCGTAGCAAAGAAATACCTTGCCGACTTTTGATGAAACAGGCATTATGTGATTTCTCATTTTATTACCAATGTCTTATGTTAAATGACGTCACGTAAAAACTGAAATGACAGTCATGAAACAAAATCAAATTTCTTGTTGCGTAAAAAGTTAATTTCACTGAGACGAGCTCAAAATATATGTTGTAAACAGCTACCACATTTAGAGATTTATTTGTTATAGATGTAGTTAGTTATTATCTAAACTAATAACCTTTATGTAACTGACATCACCTTACTATGTGATACTCGTCGTATTTCTCATGTGTTACCATTTCGGAGGACTAAGATGTCATGTCTTTGTACACTGTAATTAAAATTAAAGCCATATATCACTCATTACGGCAACACAACTCACATTGCAATTTGCAATGCTTGCTGACGACTTTCTACAGTACCTCGGTCTATTATATATATAGACAAAACATTTCATTTCTGTCTAATTCAATGAAAAATTTCGTAAAATACTTTACACATTTTGAAAATAGAACATTTAAATTACGGTCTATATATGTAGCTAGCTAGTTACAGATAGTAGCCGAATCCAAGCTTTTATAGCATATAGACAATTATAGCATCTTCGGGAAAGATGCGTGAATAAAAATTAAGCACAATTATGCGCTAATTTAAGCTGGTATATTCAGTATTTACGAAAATCCTTAAATCTTTTGCATCTAAGTAAGCAAGTGAGTGTTACACAATAATATAATTACTTGCCACGCCGCATTGCTATTATTAGCTGGATCGATACCAGCACAGCCACTTACTGCACGATTACAGCTCTACAGCTGTGAGTTACTACTTAGTAAATACTAAGTGTAATAATATTAACAGTGTGGTGTAGTGAAAGCATAGCCTTCAATTACTCTCCTGTTTTGATATTCTTGTCTTACACAATTTTGAAGACTCTGGCATGAAGCAGCTATGCTTTGTTATTATTTAATTAATTAATTCAACATATCTTAAAGGCATAAATGTTAATTGTTAATACAATACTCAAATTTTTACAGATTCAATTATAGTGATATGATTTTTCGAACCAACCTATGTGGTTGGCTATAACCACCTTTTACAGTTTAAAGGTAATTAAATTTAAAAAACCTCACATGATCTTTTCTCGGGAGCTCATAAACTTAAGGGTAAACATAACGGTACTTAAATTTATGTGATCTCAAATATTATATAGTAAACTTCGGGTTATTGTTATGATGACGACATATATAATTTTTGCTTCTAGACTCATAAATGCTTGGTACTTGTATTGGTTTATTTACTCTTAGAGTTAACTAGAACTGTTCTGTCAATTCTGTTAAATATCAACATTTTATTGTACATTTTTTAAATGATACTCTGATTATTTGGAAAGATCATTAAGTATATTGGTTAATTTCCGTAATTATTTAATGAAATGAGTGGTCTACGATTACTGAGACGTAGCAATATGCTACTACGTAGTGGACGCTACGTAAGGTAATACTTTTATGATTTCGTAGGCATCCATAGATTTTGGTGAATATTTATTTATTTGTTCACATTTTTAACGTAAAATATATGACATTACTTGATATAACATTACGTGATCTTGTAGCAAAACTGTAGATATCTATCTATATTTACTTGGGTATTTTAGTGTCAAATTTCATAAATAATATATACAATTTCAAATAAACTGCAGTATAAAGTAAAAATAAAGTAATAAATGATTAAATAAAATTAATGAAAGAGGGAATTATATATTGAAGATATAAGCGAATAACAAAGATTACTATCGACAAAGTAGAAATTAGTAATAATATAAATTATTTATAATACCGTTATAGATATGGCGAAACAGAGTCGAAAAAGATTTTATTAAATTACTAAGTTAATTGGTCTCAATAATAAAATAAATGAGTTATTAAAACATAAAGCCGCATTTTCAATGAAATTGTACAGAAAGTTTTGGCTTACAAATTCCCATTATCGTGGACAAACAAGATCATTGACCTCCATTAAATGTTAAATTGACTACGAATGAAGATGAAACTCGTCAACGACAGGCATCTACTGGAAGAAACCGAAAAATCCGAGAATAGATAAGATAATTAAAAAAAACAAAACTTCTTAAGTTATGCGGACAAGTGCCGAGCGTTCGGAAATTAAATTCAGCAAACTACAATAATTTGTTTTTTTTCTAACTTTTGTTTTGAAGGTGATTTGGTCTGACGTGAAGTTAATGAATTTCTGAGAAGAACCGACCTGCCTCGACTTTAAAGTTAATCGTAATAAAAATAATGGGAAATGACATACTCTTATATCTAAAATCCTATTAGGATCTGTGTATTATATATTAGGTACTATATTTCCTGTGTTAAATCCTTGAAACTGTGATTAGAATATTTATAATTTCTTCCATGTGAGTTAAAAAAAAAACGTTTTTTAAAAAAAAAAAGTTTTTTTTATTTTGTTAGTTATACAGGATTGGCAGGCATAAAGATATCATAGAATCTGTAACAATCGATAATCAATGCACGATTTTAGATATCGATATTAATTCAACTATGACGTAACTGTACTGTCAGTGGAGCAATGTTCAAACAAACTGGGGATTTGGTCCAACCTCT